GTTGTTGAAATATTATTAGAAGTATCATAAGATATTTTATTCACATGTGTGGATGTACTATATTACCTTTATGTCCATGTCCTTGTCTTTTATTAACTCTCACAAATTATTCAAAAGCCATGGGCGCAAGTATAAACATGAATTTGGACATAATGGAAAATAAAACATGGAGCTAAGGGCTTTAGCCTAAAATGACTATAAACCTAGGGTTTTACAGAGTGAAGGGTGTCAAAAGCTCATCTATTGATCTTGGTGATAAGATATGGATGAGTGGCTTGGCTTGAATAAAAACCTCTCATGTGTCACTATCTAAGGCATCAAGGATTAAGATTAAATCCACATTTATAATCTAAGTATAAAAGTAACTTATGGGATCAATTATAACCCTTTTTTTTTTAGTTTCACTTCAAAGAGAGAGAAACCCCTTGACAAAAATATGGCCACCATGGCCCTCTTGAGATCAATACGCCTATTCTTGTGCTCTTCATTTTTGAAGCTTTGAGTTGAAACCTTTTGATGGAGTAGTCCCTCATTGTTATACATAATTTTTGATGTATTTGTATCCCTGAAATGCAAAAGGAGAGAGCTGATAGTAACTTGGTCTTGTTGATATTCAAGACGCTGCCAAACCACGAGAAAACTATAACAATAAGCCTGATATTGGGCGACCTCAAAAGAAATTTCATAATGGCCTCATATTGCATGAAAGGGTAGCTTTAGATGCCTTAAGGACACCCGTAAAGTTTCATCATGTTTTGATAAGTTTTGAGCCGATCAAGACGAAACTCAATTTTCAAATCCAGTTCCTATCATGCTGAAAATAGATTTTATAACTACAGACCTATTTTATGGGTCTCAAAAGAGTACCAGACTACTGTCATTTGATCTAGAACATTGAAGAACCCTCAGGTACCAAATTTCAGCTCAATCGTGCCCTTCAATATCATTTTGAGCCCAACTTACCAAAAAAAGGTGGGTTTACACTATTGCGGTGCAGCCTCAGTGAACTAGTTTCCCTTTATAGAAACTGTGTTTTCTCATTTTGGGATGTATTTTAAATGCTCATAACTTGCTCATTTTGGGTCCAATTAAACTCAAATTCGGACATGAGCTAGATCCCGATGATACACTATTTTTGACATATGGAATGTCCCATTCTTTGAGAAGCCGATGTCGAATCATCGCAAGTATATGTCTGTTGCAACCGTGCTTTGAAGAGCTTCAGTTTAATATATTTTTTAGCATGATCGGAGGTCGGATGAACCTGAATTTTGAGGTTAACAATGGTAAAAGGCCCCTCATGGAGGGATAGTGTTGTCATTTGTTGAAAGTGCTTAGGGGTATTTTGGTCATTAATTTCAAAAAGTGGATTAATATTTTTATTCATTAAATGTATAATTTTCAACAATTTTGAAGGTTTTTTAGTATCCAACCGTGTTTTAGGGATACTCTATATAAGCAGAGTGTAGTCATTTGTAATGTGACTCTTGAGAGTTTTGGAAATTAATTAAAAGAGCTTGAGAATTCTAAGATCTTAGGTTCGTTCTTTTGCTTTGATTCCAAACCCAAGACTCAAGGAGAGAGGAGAGAGAAATAACTTATAGAGACAAAAAATACTACTAGGAACCCTTCACTCCTTAAACAAAATTCCAACTTCTCTAGAACTCCCAATCCTATCCCATACACCTTAGAATTCCCAACTGTCAATCCTACTCCATACACCCTGCATCTTACCTTAGCTTTTCAAGTCCCTATCCTACTCTATACACCATAGCACCCCATACACCTTAGCTTTACTACTCCCTTACTTATCTCATACACCCTAGTTACTCCATACACCATAGCACCTATACACTCTAAACCTTCGATGTATATCATCCTAGCCTATGCTCCTTAGTTTCTATACAACACACCTTACCCCAACCCATCTAAGTCATACACCTAAACCTTATACCCTAGCTTTAACCCACAAAGACCATGACTTCTCTCTCATGTACACGCAAAGGGACCCATGAAGATGCACCTAGGCTCAAATTCATTTTAGGTCCACACTCTCTCCTCTTTTTTCTCTCTCTTTCTCTTTCTTCTTTCTCTCCTCTGTCCTCTCTCTTTCTCGCTCTTCTCTCTCTCTTCTTTCTCTCTTCTCTCTCTTTCTCTCACCTCAACCTAGACGGGTCCATCTTCTTTTAGTCTCTCACTCTTTCTTCTTCATTCTAACACTCTACTCTCTTTAACTCATACCCTCACCCTTTATTAACTTATTCTTTCACTTTATTCATTTTTTCTTTTACCCTTGAGCACTTGATTTGAGGTCTTCCTAAGATAGTGTCTTAGGGTTCTAACTCTTGGACTGCTACTCTAACCATCATGTCACATAATGTTGTTGAGTTGTAAGAGACACTGATTATTTTACGCTCGATCACTCGGTCTAGGGTTTCGTCATTGATCTAAGAGGGTTGTAGCCCGGGCATAATTAAAACGATAGGTTTCCTAACAAATCTTCTCATTCATGTCTAGAAAAATGCGATAGCTAATGCATAAAATGAATAAAAAAATCCTAAAATGTTAATAATTGATGCATTAAAGAATAACACCACACAATCAATCTTGTGGAAAAACTTACCAGTGATTCTATTGATATAAGATAGCTCAATATTTAACAATATCAGTGGAAATAGTGATTCAAAGAACTAAAAATAAATGAATAAAACCCTAGAATGAGATACGTAGAAATGAACAAATGAATATCCATCAAACAAACAAAGCCAAAAATGGAGAAATCAACCGCCACCATGAAAGAGAGAAGAAAGATGAAAACTCGTTTAGAGAGAGAGTATCGAGAAACCGTTTAGAGAGAGAATAGCATGGTGAGTGGTCGTAGCAATGGTTGGGAGCTTCCAACAGGAAAGAGAGTCCATGGTTAGGGTTGTAGTGAGATTGAGAGTGAACGCTTCTCCATGGGTAGGGTTTCATTGAGATTGAGCGAGAGAGAACTTATCCATGACTTGGACAATCAGATTGAGAGATAGAGAAAGAGAAAGAGAAAACCTCTTTTATGCGGATGCCACAAACAAGAATGCGAAATGGAACTTTTGTTTTGTCTCTACATGGATAGCTCTATCCTAGACGATGCTATTCTATGGTTTTGGAAGAAAGAAAAAACTAACAATAGCTGGGCAGCTATAATGAATAGTAGTATAAGTAGAATGTGAACCGTCAGATCTTTATCATGTGGTTCAGAATGCATATCAATATATGAATTTAAATATTTTTTTTACAAATATGATCATAATGAATAGTAATATAGGTAGAATGAGAGCCGTAAGATCTTCATCATGTGGTTCAGAATGCATATCACTATATGAATTTTAATATTTTTTCTACAAATCGGATCCTAATGAAACTTTAGATGTGTCTACTAAAAAATAGGACGCACAATTAAAAAATATATAAAAAATAATTTCCAAAATATAAAATGATTGAAATACCCCTGAAAAATTATAAAGGTAATTTGGTCATTTTAAATTATTTAAAATATTTTTTTTATTTTTTTATATGGTGTGCAATAGTGTTAGGTATATACACCCAAAATTTTATCTTAATCATATTTATAGAAAAAAACGTAAAATTCATATAGTGATATGCATTTTGAACCACAGGATGAAAATCTGCTGATTGGGATTCCACCTATATTACCATTCATTATAGCTACTCAGCTATTGTAAGATTTACTCTTGGAAGAATAGTGCTTTCCATATTTTTGAGATAAAATGTAGAGAGGCTTATGTGCAGGAGAGGCCAATCCCTCACGTTCATGTGAGCTAAACACAAGAGAAAGGGGCCAATCCCTAGATAAGCGTTTCCCAAAGAGGCATCTCTAAAAGACCCCTAAGGCCTTGTATTGTAATTCTGAAAACAGGATAATACCACTTGATTTATCAGTTACCATGTTTTTCCGTGTTTGGGAATAGGGAAGTGTAGAAAACTAGGGTCTTTTGCTGATTTCTAAGGAAACAGGGGAAACATAAGACCCCTCGATCTCTCTTCCCTTTCAATCTCTTTTTGCCGAACCTCTTGCTCGAGCTTTCTAATGTTTTCACATATACATTGCTAAACAAAGGTTCTCAGCTTTCGGCACGAGTTTTCTACTTATGCTATTTCCTTAAGCTTCTAGTTTCTTATAGATTCTCTAAAGAAATAGCTTTTCAATTACCAAACTTGGCCCAAAATTTGAGTGAGATACAACTTCTTGCAAACAAACCAGATTTTACATATAGGATAGGGTATCTATGAGTCAATCGAGTGATACCGTGCATATGCAGGCCCACACTTAAACCTATCTTAAAAATGGATTGTTGATCTAAAATTATAATTTTCATTATCACAGTTAACGTGATCATGAATATTAAAAAAACTAAAAATTTGAATATTTAAAATGTGATGTTTTTCTAGAAATTGTTTGTCACCACGTAATTTTATTCTAGCTCATTGATTATTTTACAACATCCATCCGAGGAATGGATGTTGGTGGGTCTTGTGAATGGATTTTTCCTTACTTAGGATGGGGTTTCTATGAGGAAAAATTGTTTCATGCGGGTTGGACCACATATCTACAATATGGGGGTCCCAAGGTATAAAACATCCATCTTAAAAATGGATGCAAATAGGTAGTCCATCTAAAAATAATCCAAATCAACTGTTCAAATGTTTTCTTCACAAAATTATTATTTTTATTTTTTAACATTTATTTGTTTTTTTATATTAGTAATCTCCACATTAGAGATTACGTATCCTTAAAAATTGGTTCTGAAAACCCATCTCAAAAATAGATTTTTTTTAAGTGTACTCATTTTACTCATAAAAATCGTATCCTCCTGTGAAAATGGAGCGCGTACTACTCTCCCTCAAAATAATAGGACCTGGCCGTCTTTTAATTAAAACAAGAGGATAAATTCAAGCATCTTTGTCTCTAAATGCCTGAAGGGCAAGGGCACAAACAAAGCGTGTTTGGGCTACGATGGACGACGCATGGTGAAGAAATCGCGCAGAGAGAGAGAGCGAGAGGGAGGGACGAGAGGGAGGGACGAGAGAGAGGGAGAGGGAAGAGAGAGAGAGGCCATGGGAGTCACATGTCCCCTCTCTGAACATAAGGGACTATCTAATTTTCTCTCTCTAAATCCTTAGTTTCGATAGTCTCTGTAAATTCGCGATTGATATCTAGGAGCTCGAGCATTTCTCGTAGTCCTAGCCATGGAGGACGATTCTCAGAAACGTAACACAGATTGTGTTTATTTCTTGGCCTCTCCTCTCACCTGCAAAAAGGTTTTACTATTGATTCCTAAATCTCGTTTTTCCTTTGATATCTGTATCACCATTTCGTTGTTTCTCTTCTCTGAATGTTAACCCTATATTTTTTAATTCCTTGGGACTGCTTGAGAGTGTCATTTTACTTTTTCCTTTTTTGCTTTTTGAGGAAGTAGACAGATCGTCTGTGTTTGTGATACTGGCTCAGTACTGATTTTTCTCTGTGTTTGTATTTCTGTTTAGATCTATCGTGGCTTGATTGCCATCTGATGAACTGGATGTTTTGTTTTTCTATTCATTTTGCATTTTTTGGTGGATGCATTTGTAGTAATGCAGATTTTGATTGATGAATGCGCATGATCATTGGTTTCAGGGGAGCGATTGTGAGTTTCGTCACAGTGATAGTGCAAGGATGAACCCTAGGGTTTGCTGGTACTGGTTGAAGGGGAATTGTCTAAACCCTGCTTGTGCATTTAGACACCCGGTGAGTGTGTATATTTTTTTCATACATCTCCTTTCCTTTCTCTTCTCGAGTCTGTAAACTTTTTTCATATATCCGCTTTCCGTCTTCTCCCTTCTAGAGCCTATGGCCAATTTGGAAAATGGGAGAGAGGCTGTAGTAATCTTTGCTGTGGTTTTGGGTGTTCAAAAGTGCATAGTAATGACTATAAGAGGGAGAATTGTTTTACTGTAGTTATGGTTTTTGTGATTCTTTTCCTATGTACCGCGTAATAGGGTTTCAAAAAGCTATCTAGTGTTGGAACAGGTGATGGAGTTCATTGATCGTCCTCATTAAATTTGAAATCTTATCTAACATAAACGTGATCTATGTAGTTTCATCTCAACAAATAATTTGATGGGCCTGGATTTATCTTATCCGATCACAATTTATTGTGATCAGCATGCATTTTAAGTATGATGCTTGATAATCGTAACTATTCCATTTTATGATGTTCAATCTCCTATTGCACTGTGGTTAAGGTTTCCAACTATTTCTTAGTACTCACTGCAAGGTCTTATCTTGTATTTCTTATTATGTTTCCTAATTGGGTTAGTCATTACCATTTGATTTTTTTATTTTTGTACACTGTTAAGTCTTCGTGAATACTATGATAAACGCTACCATTAGAACTGATTTTTTGTCAAAAGGAATTGTAAGAAATAGGGATAAAAGAATAACGCAGCTCACCCTTCACCTTGGTTGATCTGATATCTTAATTACTTTTATTATGGATGAGGATGTTCTTGGTTTGATAGGTTCCTGCTCTTCTACTACTTGGTTGGCCATAATAACACAGAAGTTGTCCCACCCTTGTTGGTCCAGCAGTTCCTATTTACTGACCTATACCATCCATTGTTGGTGGTGATGGATGGCTCATTATCTTTAAATTCTTCTGGTAATGTATATATTGTATGCTTCACATTTTGGCTTTTAAAAAAAAATATTTATATATTGTGCGTTAACCGTTGTTTGTAAAATTATGGGTAGATCATATGAATTGATCATGAAAGATATCACACATTCTACACCTTTATCAATATACAGCGGCCCCAAAGTGCTTTAATTATGTTTATGACTTGTCGACTTGATGATGCCTGATGCACCAGTTGTCAGACTTAAATCTGAATGAAATAATTTTTGAGCTTTGTCATCTGATCAACATTCCTGTCAATTCTGCTATATAGGATTGTTAACTAGGTTTCTCAGGATATAATTGTTGTACTTTAAAACAGTACACAAAGAAGGGAAAATAGGGATTGCTAACCAAAAAACTTTATCTCCTGTGGTTTTCATTTGTTAAGTGTTTTTTTTATTCATGTGCTACGAGGTCCTCTTAGTGGGGTTCCTCTACTTAATAATGAAGTTTCTATCGATAAAAAATAGAAACAACTGTATGACCAAGATATTCGATCTTGTCAGCTTAAAGAACTCATGTTCAATGTTATTAACAATGGCATGCACATTGTTTCGATCAATTGAGATCCAAATGGTTTATTGCTCTCTCTCCATGAATCCCTTTTGCAACGCTGTCTTCTTTAGCTTATCCTTTCTGTTGTAATATGGTGTCTTAATCCCATTAGTAAGCCTCAAATATTTGTAGCAAAGTGCAGAGTTCCCTCCCTATGGTTGTTGTCTTGCTTAAATCCATGAACTTTTTGTGGTACTCTCTTTTGGGCAATGCAAAGCTTGGCTGTAGTGTCTATCTAAGGTTCTGCAGCATCGAATTGTTAGATTTAAAGGAAAAAAGATGTATACCTCCCTTTCCAAGCCCCCGGGCCTATAAAAAACCCATAGAACCCCCCAAGTTAAAAGAAAAAGACGTTTAACCCCCCTCCTTACCTTTCCATTGCCCAAATTATTGCATTTACCCTTCTTCGTTTCTTTTTTCCTAATAACCTCATCGTATAAGTGGATTTGTGATGCTTCTTTTAACTTGCAAGGTTCACAAGATGAGAGAGATATGTATTCAGGAAAGGTCGCTAGAGAGAGAGGGTGGACTAGGTTCATGGGTAAGGAAAACAGAGAAAGAGAGAGATTTCCAGGGTTTAGAAAATGGGGTGATTAAAAAAAAAAGAAGGGTAAATGTTGTAATTTGAACAATAAGAAAGGTAAGGAGGGGGTCAAACGTCCCTTTTTTTACCCTATCATGGGAGGTTCCATGGGCTTTTATAGGGCCAGGGGGTTAATTTGGGATAATGGTTTTTTTAAAGAATGGAGTATACGTCTTTTTTCCCAATATAAAATGTGTTAACAGCAAAGGTTTCAGTAGTTCCACCATATTTGTTGGGAATGGGATTGGGATGATTCCAGGATTGGAGGCAGGATCGATGGATTGGGACTTCCTGGAAGGTCCTTATAGTAGGGATCAATGTCCCTAGAATATTAAATCTAAGGAACTTGATCCCTGTTCTAGGAATCGAGCTCCCTAATTAGATATGATCAAGTTCCCCAATTAGATAGGAATAGCACAATAACCTAGTCACTACGAGCTCCTTATATGGGTTCTTAATGTTATCTTCTACTTTGTATAGTTCTCTAGCATGTGCCGGCTATTTGCGTATGATTCATCAGATGAAGAAACTGATTGAGGGGGCTGGAATTCGATGTCTGCACAATATTAAATTTAAGGAACTTGAGCCTTGTGTTCTAGGGATTGAGTTCTGAAATTCTAGGGATGAGATCTGTGGTAGTTCACTTTCCTGGACAAGTAAGTATGATTTCCACTTCTAGAAAGGACCTTCTTAGCATGGAACTGTGTTGGTCTTACTGATTGCATATATTGAATTTTCCTATGAGATGTCCAAAAAACGTGTTTCTTTTTCTCCATCAAAAGTCTTGGAGCAAGATGATTTGAGGTTCTCCAGACTGAACGATTGCTATTGTGGTACTCAAAGTGCTTTAGTGGTCACAGTTGCTGCTAGCGTATGACACAAATATTCTATTGTGTGAGATGATTATGTGGACATTGTTTCTTATTTCTACATCCTCCACTATGCATAATTCGTAACACAAAATTCTATTGTGTGAGAATCTAAACAAAAAAACACAGTTCTTATGCTTGCTGATCCATTGACTTGCCAAATTTTCCCTAAAAATTACCGTGTCAGGTCCTTGGAATACACTTAAGAAAATTTATCAATGTATCCTCTCCCATCTCTCCGATCATGATACTTAAGAGTACAATCCCTCACTGTTCCTAATTTATATAAGCACTAGAATTTGTAGAGGTTACATATCTTCGTCTAACAATTTCAGTCTTAGGTTGTGGATTAGGTTCCTCATAAACTAGAGTCCATATCTTAAAGACTGCTTATTGCATTGGAGCATGTATCAAGAGTCATTGCAAGTAATCCAGGCTTTATAACAACATAATTTGCTTCTTTCATTTAGGTATCATTTTTTTTTATATATTAGATCTGTGTAAATGAAAGTTTGACCCCTCTTCGGTGGGGTTAAAATTGGTGGCCTGCTGAACTACAGAACTCACAGCTTCTTCATTTTACTTGTGCAGTTCATCTTGTTAATTTCCTGAAATAGACTTCTCGTTCATCTGAAAGTTTTCTGAACCTTGGGATGCAGAGGTGTATTGTTGCGGATCTTGTATTTTTTATATTCTAACTTAAAAAGTTACCACAAATGGAATTTTCGAGTTCACAATCCAAAAATGGATTTATTTTTTGCTTACAATGGCAAGAAACCCAGATTCTCGAAGTGCTGAGTTAACATATTCCAATGACTTCTCTACCCAAGATTCTTCATAACTTATCAATTCAATAAATAGTTTCATAGTTAACAAAATTAGGGCAGATTTATATGCCACGTCAAACCATGGTTTAGAGAGCCAAACCATGGATGAAAAACAATAGGTGATCTATCATCTAGGGCACGTTTGGAGGGCCATGTCAAATAAAGAGTTTCATGGTTTGAAGAACAAACCACAGATGAAATAAAAGGAGGGCAAGACCTTTTTATTCATCCATGAAATGCTCTACACTTGCTTTCTCTTTACCCCTCCCCAACTCGCTTTCTCTTAAAAAACGGCTTGATGGCCATCCAAAAGCTCTCTCACTCTTTCTCTGCAATTAGGGCTCCCATATCCGTCTTGCTCCTCTCACTGTTCCTCTTTCTCTTACTGCAATCCCTCCCATCTCTCTCTTATGCCTCTCATTGGTGTGGCAAAAACAGTTTAACCAAATTGTGCAATATACTGTATCAGGTGAAACTCCTCCCTCTTCAGCTATGATTTTATACAGAGACACTGTTGATACTTGCCTGCCAGCTTAGAGAGGGCTTCCAATTAGAGATCATGGGTAGAGAGAGAGAGGGTTTGGAAGTGATCTTTGAAGAGTGAGATTGCCTCTTCCAATGTACCATCTCTCTTAGTTTGACGGCAAGACTGATTATGTCTCTGTATCAGTGTTACTCTTCTATTACTTCAACTAGATCTGAATTCCTTCTTCCTCGACAGGAGAGCAAAAGCAGGGAAAAAAACACCTCCAATGATTTGATGGAGCATAAAATCTAGGATATTGGAATAAGCAGAAGGATTTGGCCATGGCTGAGCACATAAGAAGCTGGTTTCTCTCACTGTGCTGAATACGCCATGGAAACTCTTCACTGATGCCAATGAGTTCGTGTTTTAACCAAATTGGTTGAAGCTTGGAAAACTCAGAATCACTCTCCAGCCATCACTGAAAAAACCCGAGAGATTTCATCATCAATTGCGCAAATCTCTGTGATGTGCATAGATTTTTGGCCATGAAACCAGATCTCATCCATAAAGGGCTCAATGCAAAGTTACAATTGCATGATAAAGGGGATTCTGGGAGACAAATTCCAGTGTTCTATTAAAGGCCATGTCTACTTATTTGTTGAATAAAAGTACACTATTTGAAGCTCAAAACTTGGTCAAATGCACTAGTTGATGGACCACCAAGGAAGCATTTTGTCACGCTAGAATTGCAGGTTCTTGATTCTCCGTA